TCCTACTATCACAAATACAAGTTACATTACATTCTCAGAACGAATCTTTCAGTTCGATGTATGATACATTTTCTTGCACATCTGGAGTTATGAAAAACTTTTACCTAATCTTTGTTCCACTCATAATGAAATTCTCTTATGAGCCGTTGACCTCAGGGCTCAACGTACGTTTAACATCGACCCTATCTCACATATCCTCACCCTCTCAACCAACTTTCAGTGTCAAAACACCCTTCGAAACCATGTTTTATGAAGTTTTGAGCGTTTTTGGAAAAAATGTTTTTTTGACCTTTGACCCGCGACAAACATGCATACAAACGCATTTCAGTTTTTTGACCACTTTTTTTCGACATGACCCCCATTCCAGTCGAGGGAATAATGATTGAAAATTATTTAAAAAATTTATACAACCACTATATTCTATATTCTTAATCTATTTGTTGTCAAGAATACAAACTAGATCAGTCAATATCTTATTCATGTCTTTCTGCAATAAAGGTATACAACAAAATATGCGAAATAAAAAACGCTTATTTGCGTGTGCATTCAACCGATAAAATAAAAAAATGTTATGTATTCGTTTCATTTGATGATAACAGAACAATAAAACTAACGTGTGATCCCTACTGAAAGGAGGTCATGTACGCAAAGTGAGTTAACGTTCGTTCATGCGTTTGTTCGGCCAATTACAACATTAGTAGGTAGTATATACTTATAGTAATAACAATAGGGTTTGGTGTTAAATGTCAAAGAGGAAAATGTCGGTAAATGAAATTTTTGCCTTATGTTTTAGAGACAAGATTATTTTATTTTATCCTATTCGACGAAATAATCAATACAGCAGAAAAAAATAAAAGGCCACTACAGATCAGTATCATTTTTTATGTCCATCAATGAGCAATCCATACCCTTTAAGCAAATCTTTTACAGCAATCTGACCATTATGAAATTTTGTCTTTCAATTTCCGAATCGTTTTTGAAAGGCTGTTGTTCGAGCCGATTCTTTCGACGTACCAGCACAAACATTGAGTTGAACTATTAAATGTTCGAACCTAACGTTTTCATTGTGGATCAGATACATGAAACACCAGACATTTGGATGTTTCTTCAAAATACGTGAGCCAAATCGACGATAACAAGTTTCATTTTAAATTGAATAATCTGATTGCCCGCCAATATATCATTGGTACGGTGATCAAGCTCGTGAAAGTTCCACATAGTCAACGGAACTTTTTCAGAGATCCATTGACGCTCGAAATATGTGAATAAATCTTCCACTGATTCCGATGCTATATTACGAAAACACTTGAATTGCCGTTCAGCCTCTTGTAATGGCATCAACGATAAAGCAATAAGTTGCTTGCATTGTTCATGCGTTTCTTGACATTGTGCATATTCATCATTCAAACCGAGACACATCATCTTTCGGTGAACTGTTTGAATGAAGTAAAATAGACGCCCAGAATGTTTAGCATCAGGAAACTGAACCAAAAAGTCATGTTGATGTCATCTAACAACATATAATTACTCACCTCTTGTCGAACCACTGGTACTAATGCTGCATCAAAGTCCGACACAATATTTGTTGGCGCGAATTGCGTACCTGATGCTTTTGCTACATGTTTTAATCGTTGGAATAATTCGGTACACGTTGATGCTCGTCGATTCGCCATCAAGCAAAATGCAACCGATAAACCTTATGATAAATTAATAAACTATTAGTACAAATTTAATAAATTAATCGTATACGTTGACCAAAATGTGAAACATGAATTAGAAACACTTGTTCGAAAGCACCAGGTGCAGCACCAAATGCTTCATTCATAAATATTGTCGTACTATTGAATAATAGCTGTAGTTGTTGAGGACGCGTACATGATAACACGCTTTTTCGATCGCTTCAGGTAAAAATCCATTGCCAAAAATTGTATATTTGATAAAATTTTCTGGTACGATTCAGGAATTTCAAAAACACATGATTGCGGAATTACTGGTGTTTTTTTCGTGGAGTTTTACTCATACTTGATACTAATAATAGGAAACTTAATTTAAAATTTCAATAGATTTTCAACAAAAAAAAAGACCTACAGTATTTGATTACAGTTAGAAACTGAGCAGCAACTGACTCAGCAACGCCGGCTGGGGCAATCTCTTCATCATAAATCTTTGTAATAGAAGTCGTTTCGTTCAAGATACGAGGCTTCATTTTTTCTTTCGGCGCTTTCATTTCAATAATATTTGGACGAGCAACATGATTATGACCACCAGTAATTGATAAGAATTTATTGTTTAAATCTGTGTGGACAAAGACACCACATCCATTTTCCATACAAATCCAATATCGTTTTGACGATGTTGCTTTATTACACTTAAATAGATAATAACCAAGAGAAAGTAATTGTTTGCCTTTATTAGGAGTCACGAATGAAACGCATGGACGATCCAATGATAATTCAGGACTGGGTGGACTATTTGCTGATGATGACATATGGATACTGGCTTGTGATTGAAGAATATAAGATAAATGATGATTTCAGATAGTGAAAACATCAGTATTATATACTGCACAATACAAAGAACATGCCAAACAAAAAGTTATATAGTCCGCCAGATCCAAATGACGATTTTATTTCAAAACAAAGAATGTATTCATGATATATAATAGTACATGCAGTGGATACGACGCAATATCCCAAAGAACAAGGAGAGCATTCAAAGAAAAATGAATATAGTCTTTGCATTCTATCAAATTACAAACATTCGTGATAACCAATAGTAAATAAGAAAATAAAATGATGGCATGCATATCCATCTTTTTAATTAACATTCTATTATCTTCGACGTTTTCATACTTATCACGGCAGTTTTCGCTCAATGGCCCTTTCGACATTTTCCGTCAATTCGTAACAGTACCTTCCACAAAACTAAACAAAGGTTTTTGGGGCCGAGGAATACGAATCTGATGTTAGTTTTTTGCAAAGTCGTGCAAATTAATGATTTCGTAATGACTCAGAACACAACAGATTCAAGAGAAATGTTGGGACAGGTGAAAGAAATTTATATCTTTGTCGTTGTACTCGATGAATGATTGCGGTGAGCGAAGAATGTGTTGATCAAGACGCTCATTTGAACGGAAAAAGAACATTTCAATTGAGTTCAATTGTTAATGAGTAAATAATTCGACAAAAGATGCACGTCGAGTGACTCGTTCGGCTCTTCCACATAGAAATAATGTTGTATGGTCCTAATGATCTTGAAATGTATACAGCTTGCCAACATTAACAGCAGATTCGTATGTTCCGATTCCACCAATCTTTCGATAAAGTTATATCGGAAAGATAAGGTGCCTTTAGGTTATAGTATCTTGTTGTCAGATATTCTTCTGATCCTGCGAGCATACACGCAAACAGACAATTTATGTTTGTAAGATCCTTCTCTTTCGAAAAAGAGAATAAATTAATTGTTGAACGAAAAATAAATATAAATAGACGGACAAATACAAGTATTGTCGCTTTAAAAAAAACTAAAGACTGCGATGTATCCTGAGCAGTTTGCCATTATATATCAAATATTGTCTGCTACAAATAGCACGTGTTACGGGAGCCTTTTTTGAGAAGATCTCTTGCTCGATGGATAGTATAGATTGAAAAATGAATATGAGATCATTCAGTCGTGAGCGCCCGGCCGACTAGACGTCGGAATGTTAGCTTTACCAGGTGTTCAATAAATTCCAGGGTGTGAGGGTGTGGTGAGTGGCCACGACTAGTTTCATCTTCTACTCAGGAAGATTCATCAAATGGTTTATGATTTCACTAAATTTAACTCAAAATAAATATTTTCAAAAGAACGAAGCTTATTTCAAAACTAATCACAGCAAAACCAACTGTTTTCTATTATATTGGAAGATATATGTATTAGGTTTGTTTTCTACGTGCTAGGCACTTATTGAATCTATTAGATCTCTAGCTGTTGTTTGTTAGGAAATAGTTTTGTGTTTGCTTACCTTGCCAGTGTTAACATTGAAGAAGTTGATCAGGTTTTTATCATAGGATCTTTGTTAGAATGCTTTTATATGTACTTGTCCAATCACTGTTTCAGACTGTTTTGTAGGCCTCGCATACGGAGAAGGGCTATATGATCATATTCTCGGATGCACAAGGCTCGAAGTGCCGAAGAAAACGGCAGAGCAAAGTCAACCATTGGAGTCCTTGTTCAGCAGTCAGATAAAAGTAATTCCTCGTCGAATTCACGATCGCGTGCTGCTTGACGAACTAATCATTAACATAAATGAACAAAATAACATCATTCGCATCATGTCTCTTGCTCATATCCAACTCTGTTCCGAAGTTTTCCGTTCAATCATTCGGCATACGTGATATGCGAATGGTTCCACGGGCTATCATCCAGATCCTTTCCAAATCGTGCTCGATGTGTGATATCCCTTTAACGGCGCGATATGCGCCGTATTTCCATGTGATGCAGCTCCTGTTATCTGCTACAGTTGGTGCAAGAAACCCTTGTCTTTCTGGCACACAGCGACATCAGACATGTAGTGTGAGCTTCTGATTGTTTTATAGACTGATACACAACAAGGAGAAATGATTCTGATGAAGTATGATGTTACTCTAAGTCCAGAACACATTGCATACGTACTGGATGAAACTACAACAGATATCCACCTGAGTATTCTGCGATTCTCCAAAAACAACCATTTTTCGTTTTAGTTTCTTTTGGCATGCATCTGAAAAGTGCAAAATCTCACGAAAGAAAACGCGAGGGGATAAATCTTCTCGAGGTTTTTCATACCTCATTGGGTATCTACCTGTCACCAAAAGATGGGACATAAAGACCTTAAACATCTAAATACGTTCCCTCATTGGTAAACGATTTTGTAAACTGTTTCAACAGTTGGACATGTGAGTAAAACCTTTGGCAACGATATTACAAAACCAAAAAAATAGATGACAATTGTATATATTCACGAATGTTAGAATGTATGTAGGTGGCTTCTACGAGCATGCGAGATGTTTGATGAATCCGAGACAAGATAATGAGAGAACTTTTCAAAACTTTAAACTTTTATTGTAATCATTATTTAATCCGATAACTCTCATTAACAAATTAATACAAGAAAAGACTATGACATTGTCTGAATGAAAAGAAAATTTATAAACACATATTGTTTGCGACAATAGAAATTATGAAAGTAAATCCTGTAATTCATTTCAATCATGTTAAATTCAAGTAAAATATAAAACAACTACTGAAAACTGCTACGCTCATCATCTCATATCTGTCCCAATATTACATCAGCAATTTTTGTTGACGTCTCTATCAATTGTTACTATGTAAACTAGGTAGCGCGAACGAATGTCTTCATAAAAAATGACCCTAACGAATTATTCTTATTACGATACATTTATACTGACTTTTCGTAACGCATTCTAATAAATTTTGTGCTGCTCCTGAAAGTGGATCTGCTAGAATAGCAGAAAATTTAACGTATTTGGTAGAAGGCCGATTTTATTTTTTGTTTTTATATAGTATTCTGAAGAAACCCAAGGTATCTGATTCAAACACTTTTCTATGATAATGTTGAATAGAGTCAATCTTTATCTCACTTTTTACATTGCCTCAGTCTATACATATTGTTCGTGAGGTTCGTATTCTAACATGAACTGGTTCAAGTTTTATTTAATAGATCTTAACATATTGTGTAAAATATAGAAAAGAATAGGGCGTCTGTATTACTTAGTTGGCAGGAGACTGGGCTGTATAACTGTGAAGACAACAATGACGATATTAAAATAAATCTTACTCTCAATTTGGATTCATTTTTAATCTTGCTTTTGAAGCAACGAAAAACATATTTAGCTCATCTAGTAGAGTTTTGAAAACTGCGTGTTACTATGTGAAATTCGAAGATATAAGATACTTCTAATCATATGAAAATTAACGAAAAATAATCATCTGAAAGCTATTTTGAGATCGTATTTCACAAGAGAGAACGTGTCCGAAGATCATGTAAAGGCAAGAGAAATCGCTTTTCTACATCAAATAGATAAAAATCAATTGAAGGACGCGAAATTAGATAACAGATAATTTAGAGAAAAATTGTTGACATTGAATTCGATATTTTTACTTAACGATTGGAAGCGTTGGATGCCAACAACCGTTAATGATTGATATTCCCTTCACATCCGTGAGCCAAACTTAATTTCTATTAGTGGAAGTCATTTAGCTCTTCTCGTATTTTTCTATCTTTGTCTGACAATTTTGGCCGCTTAGATTTTCGGTGAAGCTATCAGTTGAGATAATACTCAGCACATGCATGTTTATCAGAGCTTTTTACAAAACTTTCTCAACAGCAAATATGTTTCTTTTGCCTGTTTTTTCTTTCGATAGGAAATGACGGAAAAGCGTGACGTAATGGCATACTTAAGATACTGCATATGACTGAAATGCTTTGATTTTTGGAGAGTCGATTTAAAGGATGTACTTCAGTGTTCTATAAAAGCCGAAATCAGATTATTCATTTTGTAGAGGATAAAATTCTGAATTGAAAGGGGTGTCTCAGTACATTTCATATACGATTCTTGCAAAGGCAAAAACTTGATTTCGGACGAAGACATTTTACTCTGTTACAAAACTATTTTCAGAACTAAGTGTGACTTAATGCGGACAAACCGAACGAAACTTCGAAAATCTTTATTGAAAAAGGCCAACATAACTGTCTGTTACATGCCCGCTAGATGTCTGGATATCTGTTTCTTTTAGCTTTAATGCAACGAAGAAAACTGCGGTTTAAACACCATCAAAATAGAAACTTTTCTTTCAGATAATAATGAACGAATTCGCCAGGCGTTCACCATCTGCAAGTATAATAACAATTCTAAACATACGCATACTAACGATCTGAGTTCATTTACCTGACTCTGTATAAAAGAGATACCAACCTCATTCGCGGTAGATTTTCCAATCGAGAAAAGAGTTCTTGTTCATTTCACCTTTTTATCTTGTTCAAATGGCAGGGATGCCATTCGATGCAAGAAAATATCTCATTTACCGAGCCCTGATGACAACATCATTTTATTACACTTAAATAAACAAACTTGTAAATCAGAGTCTCACAAGAAGATGTTGGTATACGGTGTGAGGAATGATCTTTCACAGTACACTGTAAAAAAAAGCTTCGAATCATGAACCTTTGAAGAGGATTGATGATCACGATATGAGCCCTTTTCAATTTTATGAACGTCATGTACCCTCTCATAAACTCTTTTACATACACTTGGTAAGGGATTCTTATACATTGTACTTTCATAAATCCTTTAGAATAGATGAGCATTGATATATGCTTTCAAGGTTTGTTAATGTATCATTTTGAAGAACCATAGGAAAGAAACGTGGTTTTCGGGAGTTTATGAGAGTGCAATGTATAAAATACCCTTCCCATAACTTATAAAGTTAATAAATCCCTAAAAAAGATTCGTTATTCTGCGACTTTTTTTACAGTGCACATATTAGACAACAATTAGTTGCACGAGTTCTCTACAAAATGCGACGTATTCTCGAAGCGATAATCAGAAATGCGACTATGTGAAATATGATTGTCAAAATACTGAGAATAAAAATATTCCGGTTAAAGTGATGATAATCGACGTTATATTGGTAAAGAATATTGTCGCCTGTTCTTGTGCACGTTTTGTTACTCGTTTGTGATAAAGTTTCGCCGCCTTCAGATAAACAACGGCGGTCGCACGGTAAGCTGATGTCTTCATGGTGCCATTCCAAAGTTAAAATAAGAGTATATGCATAATACCAATACGTTATGTATTGAAGCCATTTAAAATAAAATGGAATTGAGCGTAGATTAATGAATATACCACACAAAGTCGCGAGAATTTGCTGAATTGGAGTCATTATTAATAATCCCATTTTCGGTGTGGAAGATAGTGCGGCAAGAATGCTCGCAACTGCGCAACCATTGATAATACTCAACACAGTGATACTCATCAAGAGAACCCATCGATGTAAACCTGTCAGCAACACAACAATGGCCATAAATGGTATACTTGTAATGACAATATATCCAATATCAATTATTAAACGATTCAAATAATATGCACCTAGTGAATACATCCGTCGCCTATACTCGCGTACGACAAGTGAACGCTCTGAAACTATTCCAACTAATACGTTAGTCATATTGGATTCGAACAGTACTAATAAAAAGAAATAGAGAAGGCTATTACGATTGCGAACATAGTCAGGGCTGTTCGAAGTTAATCGCGAAAAAGCGAATCCTAAAATCAACGCCATGATCAGTAAACGAGCAGCCAGTTTTGTTGTTCTCATTGGATTTCGTCTACCAGCGTTGAAAGAACGCCACAGCAACCATTTCATTTGCCGCCCAAAAGCTGCACGTCTCGATTCATCGACGAAAATTGTACTAGCTTTATGATTGAGCCTAGATTGGCGTTCAATAGTTGAAAGAAGCAACTGAGCTTCTCGTGATGTGGTATATTGATCGGCAGCTACATTTTGAGCTAAAGTACTTTGGTGATCATTAGGATTCAATGGCGCAGCCAATTGTTCGATAAAACCATCCAGTGATGATGCTACCAAACCACACTTTGTTGTAAAAAACTCTTGAGCATTCTCTTTCGAACCAAAATATGCTTGTCGACCGCCTTGCACTAAAAGACAAAGTGTGTCGATCTGATCGAACATGCTACTTGTAGGCTGATGAAGCACGACAATGACAGCATGATTCTGCTCGACAGCCATCGAACGAATCACATTCATAAGCGATTTGGCCATGTATGTATCTAAGCCTGACGTCGGCTCATCGATCAACACGACATGTGGATCAGTGAGAAGAACAGTAGCAAAAGCAAGACGTTTCTTTTCACCACCAGACAATCGAGCAATCACTGTCGATGCACATCGACTTAAGTGTAATTGTTCACTGACATTTGTCACATATTCACGACGTTCAGCGTCGTCCAAAGTTGGTTTCATTCGAAGCATGGCCTTAACAACAACAATAGAAATAACATCACTCGAGAACAAATATCAAAGACTACCTGAAAGATGAGATGTTCTTGTAGAGTCATAGTTTCGATGAATGGTTCATATTGTTCCACATATCCGATGGCATTGCTGCTTTGTCGTTGCGTGCGTGTTGTTAGTTGACCATTAAGATACACATTACCAGCTGTAGTTAGTGTATTATCTGTATATTGTCCACTGAGAACATTCATTAGCGTCGTTTTTCCTGTAAAAAATCAAAATAAATGTTCAGCAAAAGTATCGCTATGAGATGTAAGCGGCACGGCAGTGATTCACATATAGGTTTCTTCAAGCCCCATGTACGTGGTAGCATATATAATACATATACATATATTTTTCATCGATCGAAGAAATTAACTAATTACGACGATACCGTTACATGAAACTCGTTCCTTTCAGATTGAATAAGTGTAAGAACGCATTTCCTTTCGTGCGTTCGAAACAAATTCAGAAAAGGTTTGACGCTATACTTTTGCCTTCGCGCAACAGATAAGGTACATATTTTTGTCTACTAAGTAAAAACTTGAGGAAAACCACGATTTGACAGTGAACTGAGATTAAACGCGATTAAATATCGCACACATAGAGTGGCGACCGTAAAAGAATGAAATGACACCCAACCATATTTACTGAAAGACCTCTTTAGCCCAAATTACAAAGGCTGTTTGAATACAGTCAGACTCTGTTCTATTCATTCGTGCGCTTTAAAGGCTATTTGAACATTCTCACTCCCAAGAATTTCCGTTCCAAGCAGAATGAGTCTGGATGCAAATGGTAGTTATTAGGAATACGATTTCAAAACGATATCGTGTCTTAGTGCAATATGAGGTGCATTTTTATCAACAGAATATGTAAATTGGACATCTAGCATCTTTAGGAAAATTTTGAGAAACTCATGTGGCAGAGAAGACGCAATGCTATCTAAACAATGATCCTCGTGAGCAATTCAGCTGCATCGAATGCGTATATAAAGTGTCCGCGATGCCGGTAGATGGCCTAGAGTGAAAGTATGAAACTCATTTCTTCCATATCAAAATGCTTGGATCACTGGCACACGACTACGAGTAGCCATCGATAAATATCTACCAAATCTAAGAAAACTAATTTCGTCTAGCTGCACAATCTTCATATTGATTCTGATAAATCTGAAATCTTTTACTTACCGACACCCGATGTACCCATAACTGCAAGTATATTACCAGCTTCTGCAATACCAGATATATCGGCAAGAATATTAAGACTTCCGCCAGAAGATGCTTGAGCAGCTTGCTTGTTTTTTGCTACGCCGATGCCGGACCAGACGAGTGCCGAGCACTCCAATACTTTTTTCTGTATTATTGCCGTTTTCATGGCGTGCGAATGCTTCAATAAAAAGACGTATTTTTAATGCGAATACTTTTTCTTGGATTGAATGCGTCTACGATCACGTGGATCGCATGGCACGTGCTTTTTTTCATTATTTTATAATATATTAATCTCAGTCACTGAATAGGCAATTCTGCATTACAAAAAAGTTTTTAATACTTCGAATGGAATTGAAGATAACTATGCTTTGGGACAGTGAGATATTGAAAAAAGGAGCCGTCAAATAGCACTAAAAAAGAGAACCCATATCAGAAAATGGGCGATGTTTGTACATACTCTAAATGCAGACGGCCAAACCAATTTTTTCTCAAACTGAACTCCTTGCCTTGACAGACAGTCATCGACATACTGCAATGTACTACTCTACAAAAAAAAGAATTTCACTATCAGATCACATAGCTACTCGTGAGTAATCGATTCTTTATTGACGATCGCACAAAAATCTAACCTTGAACGAAAATATAGTTGAAGGTTCTAGCTGGCCATCTAAGTCAGTATAAATTGGAGAACAAATTTTCATAGGAATGAGCTGCTTTTGGTAAGCGTTCATTTATATTTTATGTCAATTAGCGACATAATCATTTTCACAGTTGGATAGACGGATATCATTCGAATGTTGAAAGCATCAGTAAATATTAGTGCGTGTACAGCTAGAAAATAATAAAGATATATTCATCCATCGTGAATGCTCCTCCATTGACACTTGTTATTACAGTCAAATAATGTATACAGCGGAATATGCATATTGCGGGGAAGACCTCATTTTTATATTTACTCATTTCAAAATCTACTTGATATTTGTTTATCCACAATTCTCTTGTATACTCTGTTTGAATATGTTTCTATTAAGTCACAAAAAGATGCCCCTATTCAGTATTTCGCGCAAAAGAACTATCGTCGCCACAATTTTGTGGGTGTAAAACATTTTGCAGATTGGGTTTATCGCCCATTGATCTTTTCGCTTAAAGTATTTGCGCTCAAATAACGCCATACCGTTTCCCTCTGAATGAACTCTCGTATAATGTATTTATAACGTCAACACCCAGGCAGACAAGCTACGATAAAATAACGCGTAAAAACACTTGAAAATGTGCGCTTTTCCCGAAATTTATCTCTGTAGAGTTTCAACGCGTTTTCACACGTGTTTTTGCTGCATTTTTTCCTGAAAAACACGTGTGAAAACGCGTTGAAACTCTACAGAGATAAATTTCGGGAAAAGCGCACATTTTCAAGTGTTTTTACGCGCTATTTTATCGTAGCTTGTCTGCCTGACCAGAGGACTACTCTTATACCCTCGTCATTCACAACTATAAAAAATCTATATCAATACAATGTTTCAATGATAAGCAATAGAATGATATAGTTCATATATGGTCTGCAAGTGATGAAGGTATTCAATGATCACGCAACAGACACTATAATGGGAAAAGTGGGAGAAGAACTTTTTGAGGCCCATGTTAAAACCAAGTCCTTCCTTTGTATTTAGAATGCAGTATTTTCCTGATTACTTTTCTCCAACTTCTTCGAGTAAAAAAATGCCACGATCGGTACTGAACTCTAAAGTATATCCTCATGGTTTAAAAGATAGGTGCACTACCGATTTCTGAAAGCGGCTTCTCTCGAGCTTTTAATACGCTTGGGCACTTTCCGTAATGAGGAGCGTTCTTTGACTGCGCATATTTTTTCTCTCTACTTATTGGTCTATACGCACAATTTTCTCTGATGAGACCGCGCTCGATTCTTACTACAAGTTTTATGTGAATGTCGGCCTTTTACAATTTTCGAATTTTACGAATCATTCAGATGGAACTAAGAGCTTCAGAAACTGGCCTTCATTAGTGTACATTTCTAGCTGGAATGCATATATTCGTATACTATGAAATTACACCTTTTTCAGACCTGATTGTTGAGAACAGACAGTCTTCTAAGCGGTACTTATATGGTTCAAAATGTGAACCGGTCAAGTCCGTACCTACTGAGAGTTTATTCGAAAAAGGCATGTACTTCTGACAGGTCGGAACACGTTTTTGGCTGAATAATTATCGAGAACTGCATGTTTCGTTTTCAGCTATCCTGACTACGTTTTATAGAGCTCTCATTGATCCCTGTGCCAGTTTGTATGAACTTGTCGTTTCAGCCTAAATCGCGCACCTACATGTCTTAAAGATAAAATGGCTTCTCTTTACTGATCCTATTGAAATCGCTTCACCATTGTGATTCGTAACATACATAAAGGGTGAGTTTGCGAAAAAGAAGTTTATGAAATTTTATTTAGAACCAGTATCTTATTCAAAAAGTCGAAAAATGTGTTTTTGATTCACATCGAATGACAATTGCCTGCAAATCGTTTAGTAATATAGGCGCTGAAAAACGTTTCGGTTACTTCGACTTTGAGTGTTGATTGGTGCAGTGAAGTTATTTGTTTTTGAACACATTATATTCATCCCAGAGTGTAAAGAGTTCTGGAATATGTTCCATGGTTTGTTTGAATCGAGCATCCATACGACGGCTTTGCTCTTCAGACATGAGTGTACGCCAGTCGCCTACCTCGCCTTTGCGTACAACTGTACGAGTTTCAAAAAGATGCCCAGCAGATTCTTCGCTCAGATGTTTGTTGTATTCGGCTTTCTTCATGTAGTCGAAGCTTGTGACTTGAACAATGCGCTCAAGTATTTCATCAGTAAGGTCAACGTTGAGAAACTTAGCCAGACGACGGATTACCGATCGAATATCTTTCTTCATGTCTTCGTACACAATAAAAAGCACATTAGGTTCGTCCTTGTGTGACCACGCGTCTAGCACATGATCGAAATAATCTCCGTAGTTTGCTCTTCCAGCAATGAACAGGTCAAAATAGGTGTCAAACGGCACGTCACTATGCGTTACACCCGGCATTGTTTTAATGAATTTATAGAAAGAGGTACACATATCTTTAGGATTACGTACGACATAGATGTATTTAGCTTGTGAATGCTGTGGAATGATACTCAAAGGTAAATGCGTTTTAATAGAGCCAGGTCGGCGCATGTTCACAATGCCTTGGCCACCATGTTGTTCGAGAAATGGTGTGCGCGCTGTAAAGTCTTTGAAGTCTTCATTGAAGGCGCGACCATTTTGAAGTATGGAATATACGATTGTTTCCATCCAAGTCGTACCTGATCTTGGCATCGTTACGATGAATACATCATCGGGACGTGCGATATAAGCTAAACCCATGTTAATTGTGTCGGTGTTAAACGATCGAGGGCACATAGGAACCCCATGTATATCCAAATGCATACTGGTATCAACATATTTCGCTGGTTTTGTTCGAGGCTTCACGGGTGTCGCTGTTTCCATTGACAGGGATGCAGAAAAGTGCTCGCACAGGACGTTTGATACACGTGAATGTATTTTTCAAAATGACAACTAATTATCGCGATTCTACGCCGTATAAGGGCAGTCTACCTTCAATCTTGAGGTTTCTGCATGACTGACTATGATGTGTGTATTGAGTGCAGGATTCAAACGAAAGAAGCGAACACATACTATCACTTGTCATATAACAGCGTATTCGTCAGTATATATGAAATTTTGTTGGAACATAAATTAGCCGCATCCTCAAAATTCTGTACTTCTGCAGCTATAGTTTTCAGTGTGATCATAAACGTAGATCTGGCTGTTGATTTAAGTAGAACATATCTTCTGCTGACATCAACATACACATTCAGAGTTTTCTGAAATTCAACATCAGATTTTCGTTTTAACTTCTCTATTTTTTAGGAATGCTTGTTTTCCAGCGAAATGTATGATTTATGCCACTGTAACTTGTTTCTTTCAGACAACGCAGAAATTTTTAGCAAACCCTTCGTCAGCTGGAAGTACGCTATACAATCTATTTTTCACTACTTTCACTCGAGTTGTAATATTTTTTTATACTCCCAAAGCTATTTGAGTTCACAGTCGAAACTTACTGAAAGCCATTCTGTCTCATATGAGTGAACCTGTCAGAACCACAGCAATCTTCCTATAATTCCTATACTTCATTGAAATTTCAGATTTCAATAAAATTTCACCACTATGCAGCGCCAAGTGAGTTATGAAGATCTCGAAGATTTCGGCTTCTAAATCCTTCCCGTTCATAAATACTGAATTTTAAATGGTTATAGCCGATATCAGATATATATTTATGGTGCATGTTTCACCATCTAGAAACAATGATGACTCTAGGCGTGGGATTTCGAAGATGTAGACTACCATTGATACCTTATGCACTGGCACGCAAGCTATAAGTATTCGCTCGAGAACTAGGCAGTAGTGGTTTATGTCTAACACCAGTACTTTTCAAAAGCGTAGCGCCTTCTGTTTTACCAGAACAAATGTGGCACAGACCACATCAGTGTGTAGAATAGGGTTGGATATTTGCTAGCCGATCAAATTATCTCTTCCATTAGTTCCGATATTTTTCGGGCAGACTACGTATGTTGATGCCCAGGACATTTTTCCGACAAGCGCATCACGAAGTATGTCAAGCGTTCTTGAAATGTTTAAGTACTATTGTAAAAAAAAACTGCGTGTACCAGTCGTGATATAGTCTAGTTGTGAAAAGAGACAATCGAGCGTAGAAGGAGAATACATGTTTCTATATATAGCAACACTTTTTCTATGTCTTGCCCCAGGGAAACTGAATGAGGGAAAATCCATCTGACAATAATACAGCATGCATAGATTAGAAAGAAGCAGGATTCGAATTTACCCTACTCGTAGGCTTATTCAATATTTATTCGTAATATAAGCAATAAAAGGTTTATAACTCAAGGTTTCGCAGATGTTGAACAGCTCCTAGATGTGCAGCACGTTGAAAAAAGTGATTTTCAAAAACTGTGAAGCCGGAAACATTAAGTTCAGTGCGTCGAAAAAGATCTCGTAGACAATAGCCCAAAGGGTGCCTCTGTAGGTAAACAGTTTTTCAACACGCTGGTTTACTTAAAAGCTATTCGGCACTTATGAAAGGTTTTTTCGATGGTTTTTGTAGCGTGTCTTTTTGAATTATGGTACACAATGTGGAAAAACTACTGTAAATATTTCCAGTAAAATTAGCAACAAGATTCCACTTAATAATGGAGTGGTCCGGAATAATTGGACCTCTCAGTGTTTTTACCATAATCTATCTATTTTGCATTCAATCGAATTAATTTTTTTCAAAAGATACGCTATGAAATATCATACAGACGTATCTAGTTTGCTTTCGAATTTCCGTTTGCAATGAATTTTCAGGACATGAAAAGCTGATGTATATCAAATAATCTATACAATTTTATACAAAATTTTACTGCACACCTTTTATAGACAACCTTAACTGAGTAGTATCAAATATGAAAATATTGCAGAGAAAATATAGAGGTCGTCACTCACGCTGATGTATACCATAAAAAAGTATTTTTTAGCAGTTTTCACTTCTCGTATCTTGAAAATTTATTTATTGCAAACGTAAATTGTAAAGCAAATCAGATACGTTTGTAGGGATTTTTATAGCACATCTTTCGAAAAGAATAAACTCGATTGAGTGTAAAAATGAAAAAGTTATCGTGAAAACACTGAAAGGTTCATTCATCTTGGTACACCCATTGGTTCCATCTAATGACATTCAGGACAAGTGTTTCGGCGAAGCGAGTCTCTTCTAATAGGCTTTCTTACCGAAACTAATGTTTTTGATAGCTGACCAGTTGAATTAACTCATGTAACATTGAGTGTATGACCTGTTTAAGGCAGTAAGTATCCTATTAAGAATACAAACATGTTGAATATATTTAAACAACTGTAAATCAATCCTTGCTGATTTTATACGCGGTTTTAAGTAACAATGCTTCTATTTGACATTGATTGGGAGCTTTAAAAGGCAAATCAAATGCGTTATATCCAACTGGAGGTCGTTCATGACACATAATGCGAAAGCATTGCTACATAATTTTGCTCAGTTTGGGGTCAGAATTACTTTTCAACGTTCTTCCCGTGACTACCGCTCTCTGTTTATATGCCATATCATATTTTCCTCAGCAAAGTCTGTTGTAGATAATCTTTCGGCACTAAAGAGATGGCAATAGACGTAGAACGAATTCCACTGATGACTTCGCAGAAGACGACGAATAGTATATCAATTCAGGAATCTACGCTTTCGTGGCTGAACGTATTTGTTGAAGTCCCAGGCTCACCATCTCGTTATGAACTATCTACATCAACTGGCAATATCTTACATAAGAATCAACAATCGCGCCGATCACTCCTTTATGATCTGTCAGGAATAGCCCGATCCGGTCAAATATTGGCGGTTATGGGAGCGACGGGTGTTGGTATGATTTCCCTTCATTACTATTACGTAGCACCGACATTTTTTTTCTCATAGGAAAAACGACGCTAATGAATGTTCTCAGTGGACAATATACAGATAATACACTAACTACAGCTGGTAATGTGTATCTTAATGGTCAACTAACAACACGCCCGCAACGACAAAGCAGCAATGCCATCGGATATGTGGAACAATATGAACCATTCATCGAAACTATGACTCTACAAGAACATCTCATCTTTCAGGTAGTCTTTGATNATGGCTGTCGAACAGAATCATGCTGTCATTGTCGTGCTTCATCAGCCTACAAGTAGCATGTTCGATCAGATCGACACACTTTGTCTTCTAGTGCAAGGCGGTCGCCAAGCATATTTTGGTTCGAAAGAGAATGCTCAAGAGTTTTTTACAACAAAGTGTGGTTTGGTAGCATCATCACTGGATGGTTTTATCGAACAATTGGCTGCGCCATTAAATCCTAATGATCACCAAAGTACTTTAGCTCAAAATGTAGCTGCTGATCAATATACAAAGTCAGAAGATGCAACTTTACTCTTGACAGATATCGAATATTACCTACAATCGAGTGCGAAACTTGCTTTAGATTCGATAGAGAGTTCTAGACGATCTTCGTTTCTACGTCAAGTGAAATGGCTTCTATGGCGTTCGTTTCTTGCAGATGTTCGTGATCCGTTGCGTAGTACCTTTATCCTTATTCGAATTTTAGTACCGGCTATTGTCTTTGGTCTGTTGTACTTTCAGTTACCTCATTCGGTTGATTTTACTCAAAACGTTAACTCTCTATTACTCTATATAGCAGGTATTACTGTTTTCATAAGCACCTTTGTGATATTGAGTACGATGCCATCAAATATTTATGTTTGCATAAAAGAAACTCACCGAGGCACCTACGGAGTACTGGCGTATTACGTAGCTATTGTTGTTCATGATTTTCCAACATTTATCATTATACCATTTGTGTACGGGTCAATTCTTTACTGGATGTCAGGTATGGACAATACATGGTGGCACTATATGTCATTTCTTGCTGTTCTCATATTGGTGAGCAACACTGCGTCTGCTTTCGGAGAATTAATAGCTTCTTTTTCAAGTACGGTCGAAAGTGCTGTTAGCACGGCAATGCCTTTACTCCATACATTTATGATTTTTAGTGGATTCTTTTTGAATGCGGCGTACATACATCCTGTGTTCTATATAGTCCAATACTTATCACCGTTTTACTATGGCTATTCCACTTTATACGTACTTCAATGGAGCACGAATAATCGGAACACGACAAGTCACTGTTACCAATATTATATTGATGATACCGAACAGCAGCTCTCCACTAACATGACTACCATGAAAACGTGTTGTGTTCATCCAATCGACAATAGCGAAGATCTGAATAACCTCAGCAGTCACGTTTATTTTAATATTGCTATGCTTGTTAGTCTCTTTATCATTTGTCACATTAGCGCTTTTGTTATTATATGGTTTCGAGCACATAAGGATCGGCTGAAAGAACGTTGCCTGCGAACAAAAGATCGAAAATAAAAAGCATACTAGATGGTAAATAACGGTATTGTTTTCATTTGTAATCGTACTCTTTAAGAAAAGACTTCTTAAACCTCTACGAAGTGAATGTTGTCTTTTATATCTAAAACACGGCTGTCTCCTCTTCCACTTTTTATAATAAAATATAATAATTTGACCATCGATATTTTCGTCACTGGAAATATCCAGAGAGTGCACTTGTGAGTGTGCGGTATTCGTGTAACCATCTTTAACAACAATGGGAATTACAGTAAATTATATTAAATTATCGGAAATCAATTTTGAAGTAACTACATCAGTCGTACAGTACTAATTTTTTTACAGAGTGCTACCGCATTATACTTCGTACTATTGCTGATTCTAGACGGAATTTGCTTACATTCGGGCAGCACGCTTATGCTTTGCCGCTTTCAAACCTCATTTCTCCTCAGTGACTAGCGGTCAAACTTAAAAATTTGCTACGTACGTAGGTGTATATAATAAAGGACGGGGGCGCATAAGACCACGAATCGGCCCATTTTTATTTTGCCTACTAACCCCTTATGAATTTTACACCATCAGAAAGAGCTCGTTAAGACGAGCATTTTGATATAAAATTGTTCGGGTTTCGACCAAGTTTTCGTTACAAGAAGCCACTGACTAAAACCGTCCTTCTTCGACAATTTGCTGCAAATTTTGGTTTTTACTGTGAGCTCTATTGCATAAGCAAAACGCAAGATAAAATAACAGTTAATTAGTGACTTCGATGGCTCTTGATCAGGGCTTTAATTCTATATATCAATCATTAGTTTATCGTTTGTTTCCGTACGACAAAAATTCGATAGAATAAGCATCACTACGAAGATATGTGCTATATTTATAGTGTTTCCTGATCTTTTAAGAAATATTTGCTTAGAAAAATTGAAGGCACCAAAATTCTCACTCAGCACGTTCGATAGCCGGTGAAAAAAGCTACCTTCTCATTGTATTTTTTTTGATAAAAGAATATGGCCACATGCACATTTTTTAAACGAACTCCCATCTAACTCCCCATTTGCCACTTTTTCGCTCTTTTCGAGCCCACTTTGTGAATAGAAAGTGATAGTTATATCAAAACGGATTCCAGATTCAGAATCAGCGCAAAAAAACTGACTAGAACTACATACAATTCAAATCCTTCCAAGACATTTAGCTTTTTTAGCTACTGTGACGCCATCCCTGGGGAGGGGTACGGCAATTTGTTTTGAGTGAAACCGAATGTCTTGGAAGGATTTGAATTGTATGTAGTTCTAGTCAGGTTTTTGCGCTGATTCTGAATTTGGAATCCGTTTTGATATAACTATCACTTTCTATTCACAAAGTGGGCTCGAAAAGAGCGAAAAAGTGGCAAATGGAGAGTTAGATGGGATTTCGTTTAAAAAATGTGCATGTGGCCATATTCTTTTATCAAAAAAAATACAAT